GGTATGGAAAACAGCACTGAAATAAATCAGCTATACAAAGATTTTGGGGTTCATAGCGATTTCTATAAAGTATTTACTTATGGATTGTAGGGCGTTGAGCAGTTATAGCATGAAAAACCTGATAAAATCAACACTTCTTAGACATAATTTCTGCTTTTGTCGTATGTATATTGTTATTAATAGTAATAGCAGTTGTTCGAATTTTAGCGGAATTTATGGCATGATGTTGATTTTTTTCTAATTGGTACTCGTTGGTCAATAAGGAAGAAGAGTTTCAAGTAATAAGACTAAAATAATCGAAGTATTTACATTCAAAATATTTCACCTAGTAGTTGGAGTTGATTTTGACATATTTTCATAATTATTTTCATTAAATGAATTCAAATAATGATGATCCAGTTTCAATATCTTCACCTCAACCAGAAGAATATCGACTTCAGTCAACTATAATTATTTCACCTTCAGTGTCAATAAAATCAGCAATTGATGAATCAATTTTTGTCGACTCGATTGATAGTTTATCTTTGTATCTTAATGGTTCTTCTGCTATTCTTCTTTTCTATTCATTTAATGAATCTCAGTACTACTTTCTATTCATTTCATTTCTGTTGCAAAACGTGACTTGAGGGTTTCTAATAAATTATTTTATGGTTTTTTCATGTAAACAGTACTTTCATTTTTGATGTTGTGTCTCATTTTAGTATCAATGAGATAGTAAACTCTATCAATATAATTATTTTGTGATTTCTTTTTTACGAATCTCAAATACTTTTTGTTCATTTCATTTGGCGTATGTCAGAAAGAATGTGACTAGATTAATTAATAGAATCATTATAAATGATTTTTATACAGTATTTCTATGATACTTGACATCATATCTCACATTTACACAATATTTTACCTTTTTTAAGCTTGCAGGACAAAAATTCGTTCTGCAGGCAGAACAAGATTTCAAGATGTCCTGCAAAAATGCAGAGCAGGACGAAAAAAACCGTCCTGTAACGTTCTCTATTCTTAATGTTCTTTTGAGTGAAACAGAAGTATAGTGTGATTAAATTGTAATCGCTTGTCTGGACGAATTGAACAGGCAAAAGAGACTAGACATGATGAATGTTAGCATATTTTGGCCTAGTCCAGACAATAATAGCAGGACATATTGAGTTCGATAGTAGAGGAACAGAACACGTCCGCTCTGTCGTTTTGTTTCTGATTCCATTCTCTTTACATATAAAAATATCTATAAAAAGTATGACACATTTTATTTTGTGAAAAAAATAAATTTGTTCTTTCCAACATCGTAAAATAATAATCCAATTGACAAGAATCTATTACTGATAATGACCGAACAAGCAGCAATATTTGTAAGTATACTTTTCAAGCTAACAAAAATAATTTTGAAGATATTTACAAAATTTTAATTGATTATTTTTCATTTTTCTCTTTTATATAGGAAGATGATGATGATGATACTTTTGATTATGATCATAAGTTCTTCGATCATGATCCTTGTAAGTTATTTTGTTTTTACTTATCTCAAAAAAAAAAATAAGAAAAAAATTAAATTTTCGAAGTTCCTAATGAATGTGAAAATGAAGTTGTTGCTGTTGAAACTTTTACTTCGTGTTTTATAAGACGTTACAATTTTTGTCCGATGTTTTTTCCTGGTTCTCTTCAAGATGCTTGTCAAATAGCTTTCAATTCGCAAGTGATTAAGGAAGTTCGTTTATTATCTCTATTTTTTTGTCATTATATAAAATATAAAAGATTATTTTTTTTTAGCGTCGTCCAGTACTTATCTATATACATCATGATCAAAGCATATTCAGTAATATGTTTTGTTCAAATATATTCTGTACAGAAATTATTATTGAATATTTACTTGAAAACTATATTGTTTGGCCTTGGGATATAACATTCGATTCAAATAAAAATAAGTAAACAATGATATACATACATTGAGTTTTTTTTTTCATTGTACTATGTATTCATTTGACAAACATAAATAGGTTGATACAAATCTGGAGAGAAATATTTTCTACTGAATTACTGAATATAACATGTGTTGAAAAATGCCCAAATCTTATTGGGATTATGCGACGATCAGCAAGAGCAAATGATTGGTCATTAACATCAGATTATGAAATAAAACTATTGCTTAACGGTGATACATTAACATGTACTCAAGGAAAATTAACTTGTGAAACTTTACTATGTGAATTGATCAATTTGAAGGAAGAATTCGATGAAAATGAACAAGCTTTAGTAAGTCTTGAATAACTTCTTTGCCTTTTATCAAATAAATATCTAAGAACTTCATATATATTGTTTTTTTATAATTTCATTTTAGTCATTCGATTTTACTAATAAAAGTGGTCTTTGTTGTGAAATCATTTTTGAAATAACTAAATATCTTTCATTAAATGATGCAATTAATGCCTTTTCCAATAATATTCTTTCTTTCGTACATAAATATGAAACAAAAATACATATTTCTGAATCTTCTTATACATTTATCAATATGATTATTCGAAAAATTAAACTTGAACATATTATTTCCTTACATCTTAATGATGTTTCATTCTCAAAAATAAAAGAATTAAATTCGTCAATTATTTTTACAAATGTTATCTCATTGACTCTTCTCAATTATCAATTGATGAATTTTATCAAAGAATACGAAGAATATTTTCCTAATTTAATTCGTTTTTGTCTTTGGTATGACAATCAAGTTAATTTTCATATAATTAGTGGTATCAGTTCTCAATTTTGGAGTTCAATTAAACGATTCGAAATTCATTGTGCTGGACCACTTTGTACACATTATAATATCAATGAATTCACGATGAGATTACTTAGAAATTATACAATAGAATATTTTCTACTTGATGTTAGGCATCTTCCTTTACCTTCAATGTATGAATGTCGGGACTTTCAAGAATCATGTGTTTTAATGATAACAATTGATTTTATCGCAAAAATTCACAATATTCGACATGTTCATCTCATCATCAGTAATCAATACGATCTTAAGAAATTGTTAAATGCCTATGAATGGATAGAATTAACAAATACATGCCATCAATTGAAGAAAATAACGTTACAAGTAATGGAAAGTATATTTGAAGACCAACAATTAATAATGAAAATAATTGAAATTCAAAATAAATTGTATAATATAAGAAAAACAATCAAATTTCAAGTTGTATCCATGTGATTGATTCTATTTCAGTATTTTTTGTTCATAATTGTCTTTTTTGTAAAATGTTCATTTTTGAAATATAAACAAGTAAAAAAAGATAATAATGTACAGTTCAATAACTTATTGATGAATTTTGAATTGTTTTGATTTCGATATTTGAACTACATTCATGTCATTTTTTTATTACGGAAGTTTAAGCGAAAAAAAGATAGATTTTTCACTTACAGAAGCATCTATAAAATGCTTACATTTCGAAATATTCTAAAAACCAATTAATATTGAATTTAAAAAAGGAAAAAGTGGAAATCCACAAAATTACAAAAGTTTGTCTATACAGATACATCAGAAGAGATTCTTTCTGAAACTAAATTAAAACGCTTGGATAATGGCATAATTTTTCAATAAATACACGAAAAATTCGTAGTTCGGTCCAAAAGTTTTATGTTTGTTAAAATGATATCATACATGAATTATCATATGATTAAATAACTTTCGATTGACTCGTCTCAATCATCAAAGAATAAACTGCATAATCTAGTCTCATAACCGAATACAAACACTATATGAAATGTGATATGATTTCGAAATCAAAACTTAGTTACAAGATTAGAAAAAGAAAAGAACTTAGATTCTATATAATCTTGACTTTGTGTGAAACTAGTAGAGTGAGTCCAATCAATCATTGCAATTGATCGATCTGATTTCAAAATCAAACTGGGTGTCGGTGTGCATCTTCTTCTCATTCACACCTACACCCACACCCACACCCACACCCACACCCACACTCACACCCACACCCACACTCACACCCACACCCCACCCCACACCCACACCCACGCCCACACCCACACCCATCTAAAAATGGTTCAGAATTCGTATCCGTATGAAACCCTTTTAGGTTTCGTGGCAAACCTAGTTTTTTAGTGTACGATGATTTTGAACTGAAAGTAAGTTTGAATCGATCGTATCTGCTAGCCATAGCGTAGAGTCTTTTACGGACACGACGAACTGAAAAAAGGATCGTCAGGACATCGCAATGATCGAAAATATGATGGACTAATTCTGGAGGTAGAGTGAGAAGAGACGCATTTGCCATCGAAGTGCAGGTTGCCATCAGTTTTGGTTGTGACATATTCTATACAAATAAGTGAAAGTTGAAATATGATTTATATTTGCCTCTCTCAACACATGTTGCAATGTAACTATGAACAAAATGATGAATGGTACCCATATCAGATATATTATCCCATGGGTTCAGTACTCTTCTAATGAAAGATATAGTTTTGTCGTCTGAACATATCAACTTTTGACCGATTTACTCCCAGAAAAAGATGAATCAGTAGGCAATGCTAGCATTCATCTACTGACTGATGCACAAGACTAATGTGGTTTATGAGGTTACTTTTGATTTTCATAAGTGAACTCCTGTGCTACCCGTCAATTACAAGGTACGCATGTTGTATTCTATTCACGTATCTTTTATTATTTTGTAGTTTTGAATAGATTTAAAGAAAATTGATAATAACATAATAACGGCGTGATCTAACATATTTTTATCTCCATGACCAAAATAAACGGCACAAGTAATTTTTTTGAGTAATTCTTCGCATTATTGTCGTTTGGTTTCATATTTACATCGAAGATTCATGTCTTGTTGTTCGGTACATCATGGAGGTTTCAGTCATAAACAACGAGAACTTGTTGAGAAAATTGCAAATATCTCTGATGTGCTCTTGTGTGGCCATGATAAATTTTTGTTATAATGTTTGTCTCGCTATTATTTCTGGTTTACTTTAAATTCTGGCAAGCGAAAGATATGCTCATCTGCAAATTATCTCAATGACTAATTAAACACCATTCAAAAATTCAAATTAAACCAGAAATGATAACGAGACAAGCATTACAACAAATTTTGGTTTTAGCCACATAAGAGCACATGGGATACATTTGCAAATTTCTCGACAAATTGTCGTTGTTTATGACTGAAACTTTCAGAGTACACTGGGTAACAAAACGGGATATGAGAATTCTTTCAGTAAAACTTGAATATCTCAAGAACGCTTCAATATTTTTTCATGTGGTTTGCGTAGAACTTTATCGCACACTTAACCGCTCAATATGCACGAAAAATAACTAAATCTATGGAAGGTCTTCTATAGAATCGGAATGGTTACCTACATGTATATTTCCATGTGTATAGAATCTTCAAGATGCTTGTTCTGATAAAGTCAAAAGGCCAGAATTCTGAAAAGCGGCGCTGATAGCTGGGCAATAGTAGTACTTAGTTCCAAAGCGCGAGCGCTTAATTACCTCATAAGCGATAGAACGCTCGATCACAATATAGGGAGTATATCGAGGACCTATGATGCCTTCCTATATTCTCTACTGCGCAAAACTAGGATTCTGAGCGTGTCAGTATGTAGGGTATGTGCCATAGTATACACCCCCAAAGTTTCATGACTCTAAATCTTGCCATTGAAAAATGGTGAAATAAACAATACATAGGTACCGATTTGGTTATCCTCATTTTTGACCTTACGGTGCATGTATTGTAATTTTAATATCCCAAGAAAGTAACGGTTTTAAGGGCTGAAATTTTAGGTTTTTTCGTAGGACACTTGGGGCTACATATGAACAAAGTTTCATCGAAATCATTGAGATTGATTGAGCACGATGTGTCGTGGCTTTCGCGCATTGGCTCCTAGATAGGTCCTGAAAATTATAAGGATCAGCCTGGAGTAGCTTATTAACACTGGCCGATCCAGTCCTGGAACTATCTAGCCCTATTTTCCACATGAGAAATTTTGTACAAACATCGTTTTTGAATCCTACCAAAATTTTGTTTTTAATAAATCAACTTTAAGCCAGAAAAAAAGGTCTGAATATATATTTATATAGAGCATAAAATTCTCTTTCTAGCTGGATAATTTTGATTCTTTCCGAAGGCTGATAAGCGGACGAAAATCGATGCAACAGGTTTTGCAAAGACTTTTTTACACGCAAGTCGTCCTAACAACACACTCTCTAGAAACTAAAAAAAAGGTAATAGTCTGATATCAGATACTTTATCCTAATCATTTTAAACTTACCTTCAAACATTCTGCATGTGTTTAACTTAAATTGTATGCGTAAGATATCGTTATCTTAATATCATTTCAACATGCATTTTGAAGGTGATGATTACGCTGGTTCACATATAAGTTGTTCTCTTGTTCTGTTTTTTGCACATTTCTGATCATAAAGCGATACGATGTGGCTAATGCTCATTTGGTCTCTTGTCTGCGTGATAACGATCAATGATCCATTCTTAATAAGACACAAATCTTTCGTTGATAGTCTTACGATCATGCCAACGCCTATTCCAGATAATAAGTTTGAGCAAGTCATTGCTGAACGTTATCTGTTTGCGCCATTTGCAAATGAATCGACTGCTTGGCCTGTTCTCAATAACATCCAAAATGCATGGCACACTGCTCCACTACCGCGCTATCACTCTCAAGCTGCCGAAGGCGTTTGGTTACTGACTCAATCTATTGATAAAGTACAAGAGACAGATTCAGGAACTTCGTCACTACAAATGTATTGGATGTCTTTGTCTGCCAATGGTACTTTAATAGTTTTATCTGATATTGACGTAAAGAGCAATGCCAGTCTTTTGGTCGCATCACATAATGAAGACACTGCTTTAGAATACACAGCTGCACTCATCTCACCTGATAGTGTGCAATTAATTCTGTGTAACCGATCAGATGCTAGTTCGTGCAAAGTTATACAAATCATAGTTTTTCCTTCTGCCCTTTTAAATACCACTAAAATCACAGGCGGTTTATTTGTGGAGGATTTGGGAGTTAGAGGATGGTTGTATATTGCTGCTGATTCGGGACTACACGGACTGGACTTATTGACATTTATGGTTAATCCATTTCTCAATGGGATCAATGTGTCTGTTTCCTCTTTGGCATGGAGTTCCAAACGGCAGACAATATTTGTTGGTACTGAGACCAAACTTTGGATTCAATCGTACGGTATTGGTAGTGAAGGTTGGCGTTTTGAACATATCACGGGACTCATTGATGCACCGATTACTTCTCTAGTATATAATAATGTGCAAGACAAATTGTGGATTGGGCAAAGTACCGGAATAACTCTTCTTTCACCGATTATCATGTCAACAGGTCATGTTCATTGGTTTTTTTCTCGATTGGCAGGACAAATCTCTAACCCTGGATCATATATTGGTCATCTTCCATTTGCAAACATTACTGCTCTAAGTGTTAGCCAGTCGACGTTACCTGACGGTCGTATATGGCTGGGTGCTGTACGTGGGGTGATGCGTTTCGATTCGAACAGTAGTGACATCAATGCTTGGCGTGTATTCAATAGTGCCAGATATATGCCGAATCGTGAATCGTTGGTTAATGTATCTTCGTTGGCTGTTCTGAGTCGTCGCAGTGATGCATCTCCTAATACGGGAAGTGCTGCAGTAGCAATCACAAACAAAGGTCTCGCTGTTCTTCGTTTTGAGATGTGGACATTGGCACAGAAAGCAGAGCATTTTCAAATGCTCTTCGATCAACCAGGAAGACATGATAAAAACGGGTTCATCTCTGACTGCTCTATGTCATCATGGGGCGATAGTCGTACTTGTATCAAAGAACCAGATGATAATGATGGTCTTTGGACTTCAATGTATCTGGCTAGTCAGATCTTTCGCTATGTTGTGACGCAAGACGCAAGAGTTAAAGCACAGGCTTGGAAACACTTTGAAGCAATGGAACTTCTCAATAAAGTTACAGGTAGTGTATTGACTACAAGAACGTTTACTGGTAATTTTGATTAATTTATGCTTTGTTTACATTTTCCGCAGGTATTCCTGGTTATCCTGCTCGTTCATTCGCAAAGCGTAGCGACTTTCTCTCTAAGATTCCATGGTATCCTTCTCCCGTTTATCCAGATCTTCAGTTTGAGGGTGATACCTCGTCTGATGAAATTTGTGGCCATGAGTTCGTATATCCTCTTGTGCACGACTTACTGGCTAGCAACGATGACGAACGAAAAAGAGCTTACACACTCATTTCCAATATCACCAATCATATCCTGACTCATGATTGGTATTTGTTTGGTGAGAATCACAATCGCACTACATGGGGCTATTGGAATCCTATCCAGATAAACAATGATAGTCGCTACCAAGAAGATCGAGGTATAAACAGTCTTCAGATACTGGCTTACCTACTTCAAACGTATGGTTACAGTGGTGATGAGCGTTTTCTCGATGGTGCCAATCTTCTTATTGGATCATACCAATATAATGTCAATCTTATTAATCAGAAGATGATTGCTGTTTGTGCTAGTGATTTTGAGTATGCTTTAACGGCTTTTAATTATGACGAACTCGCCTATTTGTCTTATTTTAACCTAGTCCATGCATTAGACACAATTGCTTCTTCGGCTAGCTTATCTGCTATTCAAAAGGCACGTGCACAATCACTAATTGACAATTTATGGGAATACATGGAATTAGGATTAGATCTTTCACACAATTACAAAAAAATGGAAAAAACACCATTGTTTAATTTCATCTATTGCTATGCCAGTGGTCAAGTCAATCAAACCCGAAATACATCTAACAAACGCCATGGATTGACTACGAGAGCTTTTCGGCATGATTGTAATTCTTTATCAAATGATGGTGTATGGCATATGCAGCGTTGGCCATTGGAATTGATTCATTGGCCACAATTCAACAGTGATCGCTTGGACGTACAAATCAACGTACCTGCTCATTGCTATCTCCCGCTCAAGTCGTTGCAGATGTTACCTCCGGACGAACGATCTGCTAAAAACTTGAACCAAGGAGTCTACGATTTGGATGATGGAGATGGATTTATTGAAACTGATCCAACTAACTTCCTATTGGGTTATTGGGGAATGCGTTATTTCAATTTGTTACAATAGCTTAAGGGTGAGGGTGAGAGTGTGAGTTTAAATATGTCTTAGGTTCGAAAACCGAAGAAATAAATAGCTACCACGACGCGTTTCGACTCGGCTAAGAGTCTCATTAGGTGGCTGAATATTCTGCACTTGCTTTTACAAGAAAAACTAAATGTTGAAAATATCGTCCGATTTCTGATGTATTGGCAATTGGATACACAAGAGTATAGAATGGAGTTTATTTTTGTATGACCTTTATATTAATGAAAAGTGGGTTTCATAGTAAGAAAATTAATAATATGAATTATAAGGTCTAAATGGATAAGTAGTATACTGTTCATATGTAATGGACGACATCGTATATTGTGGCTATTGGATATGATCGTCTTCAGTATTATCGCTTGTAAGTGGTGTGAGAGAATCAGGAGTTTTGGCTTCGCTGTGATCATCTTGATCACTTTCGTTTTCATCTTGTTGTTCGACGCTATTGTCATTCATATTTATGTTATTACGAATTGTACTTTAGTTGTTATCGTTCGATGATAATATTTGATCAGCCAGATTGAAATTATTGTTGTTAGTGATAATAATTTGCTGTGCTCGGCTATTGACATCATTTTGAAAAATTAACCCATTGAGGACCGTGGGACATACATTGTCCCACTATTTTTCAGTAGAGAAAAAAATGTTTAGTTCATATTAAACTATTAAATATGTAAGGTCATTAAGGTCATAGACAATCGTATTCATCATCTGATGCTTTTTTTTCTTTCTTTCCTTCTCTCATATAAATTCTTTTCAAATACCTTTTGTTCTTGCTGCTAGGGTACAGTGATGTCATGATTTCTCTCTTCTTCTCTGATCTTTTGTTTTTCGAAAATATTCTCATTCTCTATCGTGTTTATAAATATGAGTGAATTGCAACTTTTTGGTACAATTGGCGAAAAAAAAATGAAAGTATGCCTAAACAACTTTTGAGTAGTACATTTTATTATACTCTATGCCTATGTTATACAATAAAAGTTTCCCAACACTTTTCTATATATTTGCAAAGATATAAGATATTTCAGCGAAAATGTATCGTTGTGGATGTTTTTAATGGGAAAACCAGCAATAATTGACTGGAATTTTATACAATACAAATACTTTGTATTTGTTCGACATTAAGATGGAGTAACCTTCCGCGATGAAACGCAACGAACAGTATAAATTAACGCCCATTTCGACCTACTTCCAGCTGAAATATTACATGAAAAAGGTCCTTCTGCACTTCATTGTATGTTGTAAATTTCTCGAGAGCGACAAGAGATAGACGGCTGCATTTTTTCCCAGTTATACATATCTTAGAACTGTATCTTCGGTAAAAATCTGAGCAAAAACGGATAAATTGTTCAAAGGTTATTAGCGACAAAAGTTGCAAAAAGTCCTTCTACAAAGTGAGTAAAATTCAAGTTTTTAGAAAAAGATCGTTTTTTTTCGACGAAAAGAAAAGTCTTGAAGAAGAAGCTTTTCTTAGCAATTTGTTTTCCGCTCAAAGAACTTTCTTTTGAATACGTTTGGTTTTATTCAACTTGTAGCCAAGGAGAGAAAATCGGAAAATAAGATCCTTATACATGAAAATGACAAAGTGTTTGTAACTAAGTATTCGAGGTGAATGAGTATGAAAAGAAAAAGAAAATAATAAAAAAGATATATCATTTGATAGAGCATTTCAAGCTGTACAAAATGGAGTATTCATTGTATTTTTTTCTTTTCTTTTGTACTTAGAAAATATCCTTTTCTCAGCACATCTCCATGTAAAATACGATTTTTTGATAGTGTAGGCCTCATAACTTAGCAACTGTAGTAGGTAGAGAGCTGAAATTTTGTGTGGCAGTGGGACACTCAAAGACTAGTGACATATAAAAATTTGGTCTAAATTGATTGAGTAGAACAAAAAATTATTGGTCAAATACAGCTAAAATCTCAATGGTACCAAAAAGTTGCAATTCACTCATCTATAGTCAATTCATGAAATTCCTTACATACTATTTATCAATACCATCAGTTTTACCTCAACGTGACAATGAAAACGATTTTGCTGTTATACGTAATCAATTATTAAATATACCACCTGTTTCAGAACAACAAATAGCTTCACGAATAGCAAAAACAATTCATTTAAACGACAAAGATACAGTGGATAATCCACCAATTAGAAGACGAATAGGCAAGAACGTAAAATGTCAAAAAAATCTGATAATTCATTACACATATGAAAAACGACTTCAAACCTATTGAACGTGAACTTGTACGTAAACATTCCCAGTAACAACTGTCAACAATGATCACAAATAATAAACTCTAACTACTGCCCATTTCGAAATAAAAGGCATGTGGGTATTTTTTGAATAAGGGTGTGGGTTGTGGGTGTGGATGAGGTGTGTGGGTGTGAGTGTGGGGTGTGTGGATATGGGAGTGGTGTGGGTGTGGGTATGGGAGTAGTGTGAGAATTGTAGCCGAGTACAACCACACCCACCCACACCCACACCCACACCCTTTTCTCTGTATATTCTGGTAGAGAAAAGAATGTTCTATTTTTCTATGCTATTCAATCATTTTTCACCTAAAATCATAGTAGTAAAAATTCAATAAGATCTATTTTGTTGGCATGTGTCACAGTAATATGAATGCTACTGAGTATATTTTTTGAACAATTTTTTCAAGAAACAAGACAGAAAACTACGATTTTCACCATTGGAAGGATCAGATTAAGATGCATCGAATCGTTTATTATAGGCTTTTATAATATTGATTTGTGAAGTATTTTTATTCAATTTTCTAAGTATCGAGAAAGTGTTTTTTTTTAATGAACTATCATGACACATGTAAACAAAACAGATCTTATCTTCTATTTTATTATTATTATATTAGTTGAAGTATGATCAAATAGCATAGAAAATCGAGTATTATTTTCTCTATAAGAATATATAAAGAAAAAGCTTCGTTACGCTTTTTACAATGAATTAAAGTGTCATTCTCACTGCTTTTCGACTGTCCTAAGTACGTTGTTTTTTTTTCAATAAAAGTCGCTAATTGAAATCAACTCTATATGACATAATGGTTTACTTATCCTGGATTATCTAAACTCTGTCACAGCGAGTTTTTTTGTTTATATAAATTATTTAGAATTGTTTTTCTCAGATATGAAGCAATTAATGAAGTTGATAGTTTTGAGAGATCTGCTTTATGAAAGAACACGGTTTTTTTTTGAGAAAATTTTAAAAAAATACATTCAAACATATCTCTTTGTAAAATTTTTAAGAAGCTCTATTATTTTGACTTTCAATATAGCTTAGTTCTGATCTGTATGACAATTTGAATTGCCTATCGACATCGTTTATACACACTATATCAATTCAAATATTTTTTATCTTTTTGTATCCGAAAAAGATGAATTTTCCACATTTACTGAACGGAATGCAAAAAATTTTTAAATCTAGAAAATATATCAGATTAATTGGTATAAAAAATGGCGTTTTAGAAAAAAATGAATCCTGATAGACTAATGAAAATGTTTGCATTTTTTATCAAAAGCCTCAGTTCGACAAGTTCTATCTAACCATATAAAAATAAATGAAGAAAAAAAAATTGCTTTAATTTTATAATTTTCGCACCTTTCTTGTGCAGATTCTAATGCTCATTGTTTTATTTCTATGCATCAGTTTTTAATCATTTTCTATAAAGTTATTATTTAGGTAGATAAAAATAAGTAAGATGAACAAAAAGATTGTTTACGATTATTTCTTGTCAACTATAATTGTTTCTATTCTATGAATTATGTATAGATGTGAGGAAATGATATGTTGTTGTAAATGGATGTGTATTCTTTTCTCTTATTAGACATAAAAAAGACTTTTCTCGTTCAATATTTCTTCTATATAATTTTCTATTTTCTATTTATTTATATGAAGGAAATGAAACAATAATATCGAGAATGACTCTGTTTGAAAAAAAAGACAAAAAATCCAAGATAAGAATAACAGTTTAGTTTTTTTATATTCTATTTTTTTTGTAAGTGTGTCAACAGTCAATAAGAATAAATTCGGCATATTTCGACTTGCTTTTATTCTCTTACCTAACTGTTGTCTTTCATTTTGAATATTTATCAAATGAACTTATCTATCAAACTTTCGATCATTCTGCATTGATGTTCTTTTGTCACTTGCACGTATTATTTCAAAATTACTTCGACTTGAAACATTATTCTTGATAATATCAAAACAAATATGTTGAAAATATCAAGAAAAAAGTACACATTTGGTACCTTGACGCCTTTTCAGTACAGATGCATCATTTATCCCCTTAGAAAATATTCTTATTTATGCATTATCTTTACCTAAATAATAACTTTATAGAAAATGATTAAAAACTGATACATAGAAATAAAACAATGAGCATTAGAATCTGCACAAGAAAGGTGCGAAAATTATAAAATTAAAGCAATTTTTTTTTCTTCATTTATTTNCGCTGATTTCTCCACTATTACGCGATGAAGAAAGACCGTGATCATACCATTTGAAAGAGCAGACTCTGAGGATCTTGCATATATAAAAATATTTTCGATCGGATGTATAATATAGGCGTACCACGATAATCAAGAGGAGTGAATATTCTCGTGTCGTTATTAGGGACAATGACTCTATATATACTTTTTTTTTCGTTCCGTAACCAATCATATGAAAGTTCGTGAAGAAGAAGAAAAAGAACACTTGTAAAATATAATATAGATTGATACCAATTTAACGTTGTTTTGTACGATAGAAAATTAAAATGCTAAAAATTTTAGATTAACTTTGCTTTTAGCAAAAAAGAACAAATTCTATTGTATCCGTTGTTGGCTTATAATATTACTAATATTTATATCGATTCATTTTGACACTTCAAAAACAGCATCGACAGTATAATGGCAAGCAGTCTCAAACAAAAAGTGACGACACATGACATCGATCATGATCAACAACTTAATTTCTCAAGTAGATAATTATTGTCTTTGTTTAATATACTGAAAGCAGTTGAAGATGTCAGAAGAATTCGAAAACAGTTGTTCGTTTCTCAGCAACTAAACAGTTCCAAAATTTTGCTAGTAAAATCTTTGCCAATTGGTTAAAAACCTAATAATATTTTGGTAAAAATCCGCAGGATCTTTGCCGGTATCCGACGAAGATCAATAATCTTCGCCACTATAACTTCCTTCAGGTTTAGTTGGAATGTGTTGTATCAGATCGAAATAGAATTTTTGAGTTTGGATTAATTCAATAAATTTTAAAAAAATAAGTTCGGCAGATCTTCTCTTCATGAGTTTTCCATAGATTTTGGACTATGTCAGTTAAAATATTTCTGAATGTATGCACTCAAAGCGTATTCAATTATAATTTATTTTTCTTGTCCAGAAAAAAAACAGATTAACATTCCAGTTGAAAAGAAGTAATAAAGAGTTACTAGGATAAACAAAAAGAAGTGTGCTAGTGCAAATAAAGCGACCATCGTGTAGATATTCAAAACATATATGAACGAAAGTTTCGTGTAAGTTCATATAAATCTTGTCAATAATGAGCTTTAAGTACACTGACGAAAGTCTTATTGATGAAACTCTCACTATTCATAGCTAATATAAAGCTTTCAAAATGTATACGATCTTATTTAGACACTGTTCAAGACTTCAACAAGGATACGGCTGATGAAAAGGAAAAGGCAAAGTCAAAGTCAAAGTCAAAGTCAAATATACCATTGGAAGCAATTCTCGAAAATCAACAGTATCTATACGATTTGCATACACATTTGTTAGGTATGGGGAACACTGGATTTTGGATTGACAGTATTATCGAAAAGCGTCAAATCTTACCAACACATGCCGATTTCTATAACAACTCTGAACTTCGTACGCAATTATGTCCACTCATTTGGAATAGTGAAAAACAGACGAACAAACTGATTTGTGGTGGCTTTATCAAGAGTCATCTAACAGCAAAATTTTTTGAATTATTGATCGAAAAAAACTTTCCTGGATATGGAGATATTTCTGATCAACTACGTAATACTATTCTTGTTAGCTTAGTCGAAGCTGGTGCTAATACGGAAGAGATCTTAGTATTTGAACAACTTATGGATGATGACTTTATTAGTATACTGAAACATTATAATTTATTCTTTGGTGAATCAAAACAGTATGCCATAATACAAACGGGCACAGATTCAGAAGAAGAAAAGAAATTTGGAGACTTTACATATGATGTTGTTTTAACTTTAGATGATTTGGGAAAAGCATTAGGAGTAACAACATCATGGATGGTTGAACTTGATGATTTAATTCAAAGTAAAGTCGAAGAAAAACTTGGACTTCACACTTATCAAGGATCAAACAAGCCACGACCATTTCGCCTATGGATCGTGTTCAACGCTCGTGGACAAAGGTTTCAAGTTGTCAAAGGTATTACTGCTGAGATATTACGTGAACTTATAACTGTCAAAGCTAATGCTCCTTCACAAGCCTGTGCACTTGCACGCGCTCATCTTCAGAACGCCTTTTCAATGTGTAATCCAGATGGTACGGATCCTCGACCGATTGATTTCGATAGATTTCAGGGAGCATTTACACCCGAATTTTATCCACGTCGTTTTTCGTTGAAAGATTCAATTTATTCTCAACGGCTCGACGTACTTGCCGCATTACTCGTTCATGTTCTCCGACGATATCAATGTTGTTTACCTCCTGTTCGATATTGTGAACTGTCTGTGGGTCTTAGAGATATATGTAGTCCGTGGGTGTTTGACGTACTTTGCAGTTTTCCCGCTTATGATCCGATCGCAAACGAAGAGCCACTATTACAAAGCAATTTTTTCGCTATGATTGTTCAGGAAGGTTGTTTTCCTCATCTGCGTAGTGCATGTTTAAGTACAAAACATAAATTTCCATGTGTACCAAACGTCACATACAAATTTCTAGCTGGATTCAATCGGCAAAGTGTGAAAGCGCATCGTCTAGTCAATCAAATCGAAGCAATCAGTTTGCTTAATGATTCTCCAAATGTGGCCATTCATTACATGCTTCAAGAAATTGTACAAAGTGAGAAAGACCAAACACAAGAAGAGCAAGGCAAATCACTCCCTGAAAATAATCAGGTTTGTAAATTTTAATTTTTCGATTTTGACTAATTTCTTACTAATAATCTGTTAAGCAACTGTTGACTTGATTTTTTTTTCTTTTCGAAAGCAAAGTCTGAAAAGAGCACAAGCAGTAAACAAAAAGAGTACATTGATATAGATATCTAATGTAGAGCAATATTGAAATAATATTTGTAGAATATTTATCTGAAAGGAAAAATCCAGTGAGTAATATTCATAGTTTATACTGTGAACAAAAAGACAAATAGTACGACAGATAAATGTTGATTAGAAACTAGACAATACACGATTAAAGAATCAGGCAGAGAACTAAGAGAACCTCTCTGACTGAAATTGGAAAATATCTAGCACCTAATAATTTCATATAATTACTACATATATATGTATGTCTGCTTCGCTTATTTCAGACTTTTAGCCAGAAACCATGTGAGAGCTTATTCCATGAATCACTAGAAGACCTGAAGAAATTGCAAAAAGCTACAAAAGAAATTAGAAATTTTAAGTCATGGGTGGTTGGACTTGATCTGTTTGGCGATGAAATGGGTTACCCTTACTGTCCATTTGTGACATGGCCTTTTCGTAAATATATTACAGAGCGACGACAAGAAAACAGACATTTCGGTTTACGTATTCATTGTGGTGAAAATGTTCCTTTCGCTGATAACGATACAGGTGCTTATCGTCATTTTATTGCACACATGTATATAGTGTTTCGGTGCTTACGCTTCTTGCAAGGTAAGCTTGAGTATGGCGTTCGTGTTGGACATGGTATTGCCTTTGCTCGTATTTTAAGTGGGAGTATGAGTCCGTCCACACATCGAAAGTCATCCGTACTTTTAGCCGAAATGAGAGAACATGCCGAACATGTACTGAAAAATATCGTTTTTGAGATTAACATTACAAGCAATGAATATCTATTGGGACAAGCATTACGTGAAGGTGATCATCATCAAACAATTCGACTTGAAGCTTTGGCAAAACGTGGAATACCTATCATTTTATCGACTGATGATGATGGAATTTGGCCTATTGATCATTGTCCTTCAAAACATCCGGGTCATCATTCATTAGTTGCTGAATATTGTCGAGCATTTTCTTTATCAGTGATAACGTCACATGAACAACTTGAAAAAATGCTATTCAATACAAATAGATTTTGCTTCTATTCTCTCGATGGTGTTTATATACCGGCACAAAACAATAATAAATACCGAGTATGGTCAAATGAAGACAGTAATGCATCTACCATCGTTTTTCATCCAGATGTTATAAAAGTAGTTATGCAAAGGTACCATTTTTACAATGAATGTTCCAAAAAAGAGCTTATCTGGAATAGTAGTTTTTACCAACATTATAAATCACTTTATCCTAATAAGGAATCTTGTAAACTTTTCAATCAAGAGCTTAACTGGCAATTGAGATGTCAAGCTTTCGCACAGATCGCATATGTTGTTCATAATACTAATGAAGATCCGAACACTCTGAATCATATTGGAACTGAGTTTAAAGTCATTTTTGGCGATTACGAGAACCATCTTCACGAGATCTATAAAGTTTGGATCAATGTTCGAAAGCAATTTATGCGTTTGGACGATGTGACCGACGGTCAGCATGTTATCACAAATACAACGAACGTATTTTTGTCTGAATCTTCGGATAAACAAGAGTACCCATTGTTTTCGACTCTTGAATTCGCAAAAGATTTCTGTAATGGATATTACCTTCAAGTTTTCACTTCGGAAGTATCAGAATTACACACGTCTAACAACTTTAGTAACTCGTTGCAATCACTTCCTCCGACAACAGATATATCCGCAAGAGTACATACAACCAAAAATAAAGATCATTACATCGATTCAAACACTTATAAGAAAGTCAAACTTGCTCTTAGTGAAAAGCCAGTGAATTACAAAAAAAAACATGAACACATCGATTCAGAGAATCATAAGAAAATTAAACTTACCTTTAATGAAACATCAACGAATCGCACTAACTGTTCAAATGTTAAAGAAGAACATATGTTGTATGTGATTTGTCGCCATGCAAGTGCAGCAACTGCTTACCTGCATTATATTGGAAACAAATTTATCGAGAAGCTTTCGTCTAACATGAATGATGAGAAAGCGCCAGAACAAGTTCAAGATGTTGATCAAACAGGTCAACAATCCGCTTAAAATTTAATCATAAAAAACATGAAAATAATAATTTTTCGGAACAACTGAGAATTCAAAAAATTTTGTTTTTTGTTAATTTCATTGAATATGAAGAGTTTTCATTAATTGTAGTTAATTCTTTATACCACCATTTAGAAAAATCGATTACAACTAGAAATATGCATTTTTTATTTTTTTTTTGCATATTGTTTGAAATAGATTTGAAATTAAAAAAAATCTTTTTCTCCCATTTTCTGATGATTTCTTCTTTTAAGAAAAAAATCATTGCACACTGCATCCTGTTGGTTTCAATTCTGTATAACTGATTTATATTTTTCATTGATTATAATTACTTTAAAATAGTGTATTCACATAATAGTTTATTCATAAGACATACTTTTTTTAATGAAAATGGCATACACCTCTCAAGCTTCAAAAAAAGATATTATTCTCAATAATATCATTCAATTAGATTGAAACAAAACCTCGTTAAACATTCGAAGAATATACAGCTTGATTACGTTATTTTGACAGTTTTGTTCATTTTGTCCTATTCATACGAAACCTCAGATATTTCTTATTTTTATATGGTTCGATAGTGCATGAATTTCTCTATCGACTTATATAGTTTTTATTTTATTTTATTTGCAACTTCTCGAACAATTTGATAAATTCCAATAGGTACTGAATTGAAACATTTGTAAGCTCGTATTTCAGTCGGACCGCATTCATTGGTCATGAAAATGACTTCAGATGGAAGAAGACCATCTTACTTAAACCTGCAGCAAATATTAGACAACACTGATTCGAAGTTGAGGAAAAAAACGGATTTTACTGTCAAAATTTGACGCACTTGTGTATTTATGGAAAGCCGAGTTTCTATTACTTTCTACGGAAATCCACTTGTAAGACCGAACATAAATTTGATTAAAATGGCTGTGGGTGTGTAGATCTTCTCCTGGGTCACGCCAATACCTACCCACACTCCGAAAAACCTGAAGATTTACAATTATTGAGCGTCCTTCTGTAACATTCGTTGTAGGACGTTTGTCTATGACAGATTCAACTAAGACTTTTCAATGTAACTCTTGCAAGTCGAATATTTCACCGAAGAATCATTATGAAAATTGATACAAAGAAGGCAGCAAAAACCTTATATTGAAATACGAATAGAATGGTTTTTCAGGTTCAGGTAGTATGATAGGCTATAGATTAGAAAGCACAATACCGTTATTGGACTTCTAAAAGAGATAATTAGAATCGCAACTTTATCCATAAGTAGGCGTTATGGTCTTTAGCATGTCTTAAGTCTATCATTCAAATCGAATGTTTTCTTCTCAAGATATTGCATATTGAAAAATGAGCTCATTTTGTGAAATTTCATCGTTATTTTGTCTTTATTGGTGATCTAGACAGAAAGTATTTGTTTTGCCTGAACATTTCATGACATTCTAAGAACTATAAAGACTGTTTATGGACAGTATTTCAGATGAAATTTCATTTCCTCTGTAAGGTCAAGGGTTCTTCTCAAGGGATATTCTTTTATTAGTGTCCATTCACTGTTAGAAAATAATCTTACAGCTTTTAAGGATTAAAAGCTGATCTAGTGATTTGATATCTAACAATAGATTAAAATAGAGCGTTTTGATTAAATCTATTCACATAGAATTTAGATTATAATAAAAATAAACGATTGCCAATGAATTTCAATTTATAAAACAATAATAAAATGAGCATAATTGATCATAGATTACATACAGCAAAAGTAGATGGATGAATGTTCAACGTGACCTTGAAAATGGTGTGAATGTCTATTTTTAAACTGATACTTTGACAAAAGTTTGCGATAATTAACACAAAGCAAAATTTGATTCATGATAAAGTAACTGGTAAACATATGCACGCATATGGTGATGCATTGATAATGAATAACCTGATTTCATGGTAATTCTTTTTCTCTTTCACTGATGTAATTACAGAAGCTATAGACTTCAAAGATAAGGGTGTAGGTGTGGTATAAATAGAATATACACATCCACTCACATTCGCGCCGTTCTAACAATATATTTTCGTTAAAATGACGTTGTTACACAATTTTTAACAATTTAGAACGTGTTACTACATCTTGACCCCGTTAAAATGCGTAATTTTTTTCGAAATCTACGAGTTTTTTCGCCAGCGTCTATGTGAATTTTATGAGTTAAATCGCGTTCATACGATCTAATACATTTCAAATGCTGTAATGTCTTATAGAAGACTCGAAGTAGGTCTTTCCTTTTGTACTGCATTATTGCGTTTATTATTGTGTCATTATAACTCCCTTTTTAAACAGAATTTTACGCTTTTATATAAATTTATTATCTCGTGAATGTTAGAAGATAGATTAGTAATTTGAAGGCAGCATGTCTAACATTTATGCAGCATATGGGTGGGTGTGGATCTTCTTGTTACCCACACCCACCCCTTCAAGTTTGAAAAATCTCAGTATTAATATTTGAAATGAAAACCCTATGAATAAAATGAGTGAATTTTTTATTCAGAATAAAAAGTAAATTAGCACTGAAGAATTCGAAAAAATATTCAAGTGAATTCTAAAAGGTTTGGACATATTGATAATCTACTTATCGAATTCGGATTCTCATTGTGACTCGATCTGTATCTTTTTTAAAATGAAGTCAAACTACATAGAAAGTCTTTATTGGTATGATAAGTGAACGATTAATGGAGAATTCATTAATATAAGTGTCAATCTCAACTGTTGTCATTGATAATCGGTGTCGATATGAGTTTTTCCTTCGATCCACACTGCACCCATATTTTTTTTCGCTTATTAAATAAAAGATTCTTCTGGCCATATATCAGCTGTTTTTTTTGTGCAATTTCATAAATTAAATGATAGATAGCATTAATAGAGAAAATGAACGCATATAATTACATGTGTTTCCCAGATATGTTAAATTTTATTGGAAAAAACATGGACAATTATTAGAAAAAAAAAACAAGAATTCATGAAAAACTTATCCAACAGAATATAGATCTAAGGGTAAAACTATAGAAATATAGATATAAGGATATAAGTATAAGAGTTAACGAGTAAGTAAATAGATGCAAAGTAATTAGACATAAAAGGTCATAGATATGAGGATTTAGATATAAGAGCATAGAGATAAAGTCATAGGTATAAGGATAACCTTAACTAGTCTTAGCTAGCTTTCAAGTAATCATGATGTATTACATTTTCTCGTGCCCTTAAAGAATAGATTTAATTTCACGATCAAAAGTGTAAAAACTCGTTTAAAATGTTAAATGAAAATTAAAAACAACCGAAAAAAGCGTACATTTTAACGCGTTACGGAAGTATGAAAGTTTATGATGCCATAAAAACGGGTGAAAATCGTAAATCATAAAAAAATTCGTTTGAAACTTATAACGCTTTCATAACGCGTTAAAATGTACGGTTTTTATGCTTTGAAACGCGTTTATTTTGGACCCATTGTTATACTTTTTTTTTGTTGATTTTGTTTATCTGGATTGCTGCTGCTTCCGCACTCTTTTTATACAATCACAAGGGATGGGTAGAAGGGTGTTGCTGTTCTGAGAAAATGTCTTGTAGGAAAAAATGTTCAAATTGACGATCCATTTTGCATCACCGATGGTATTAGTAGTCGTTCGAATCCAGTTTCCTAAAACAGGATTGCAACAAATTCAGATAGTATAAAATAATCAATACAATTCTACAATATTTACCAAATGATCCATCTTGCGCTCCTTCAAAGAACAAACTTTGATTTTATTTCGACGAAATTCTTCACGACGTCTGTGAATTCGCATGAAGATAAATTCGGATACTAATTCCGCTATTATCATATAACCGATACCAGACCCTTAATTCATCGAAATAGTATTGAGCATGATACTTTTTTTCAAAAATAGTAAATGCCTACCGAGAGCGATAAATAAACGGCGTATATCGAATCGTCCACCATTGCCTGATATTGCAAGAACGAAACGAAGTCCGTACATTTTTGTAGTAGTTCGATAATCTATTTCATTGAAACGATATTTTTCAATAAATCTATCATAAAATTAGAATGTATTAAGAACTATAATAAGATCAATGCATATTAATGTACCGAAAATTGACACCCGGCGATAGTTTATCATCCCCACTTTGCAACAAATCGAATGTGTAAGTTGGAAAACACCCTTGATTTTCTGCATTATAATCGAAATCGCATTCCCATTTTTGTTCAATCTGTATAAGGCCTCCCTAGAAAAAAGAAGTTGCAGTATACATGATGCAAGTATCACGTGATATTTTGAGCAACTATATCAGAATAAAATTGAGCTTTCCAAGACAATGTAACCGTAGCTTTTTTATGCCGCCATGTTTGAGTGATGATGTTGTTCAAATCTCGATGCTAGCAATCATGGAATAATCGCATATAAAAAACTAACGATTGTTTGTCTCGAATCATCCGTCTGATAGCACACATCGATTACAAACTGACCGACATCTGTTCTTGTGGCTAGTATGTGGTTAGTCAATGTGTATGGAAAGCTCAAGCGATTTAGTGCAAGAACTTTGTTCACTATAATACTCACTTGGTTGTACAAAGCTGCCAGATTTATTCTGCGATCTTTTTCTTGAAGCTTTTTGATAATATATCCAATTTGAAAGATAGGACAACGTGGATCATTATCACTGTTGAAGCGACACGAAAATTTGACATTCTGTTTGACTGTTCGTCTGCAGAGATATTTGAAAGAAATATATTAGAAACATGTTACTAGATTAGACAATAGTAAAACTACAAACAGTTTGATGTTGAATTGCGGGAATGAGACAACTGTTTTTATAAAAACTGTGATATTGAGTAAATCATCAATATTGATTTTATAATCACTTTCAGTAGAGAGAAAAAACAAATATTCTGACTTTTGAAAGCAAAATACTGAAATCTTACGTGGAGTTTGACAGTTCTTCAGGACACCAAGCATTTATTTCACATACATTGATC